TCTGAATTCAATTATGATATCCACAACTTAGAAGAGAAGGGCTTCAACAACAGCATCGCCTCCAAGTCATTGGCAAACCATGGGTGGCGTATTATGACAAGAATTTAGCTGGAAAGCAGCGGGTGTTTGAGGAAGGAGAGTACATCAACCTTGCTGACAAAAACAAGTTTTCTTCCCTCAAGATGGTCACAGATGACCTGAACAACCCTGAAATCATGCTGTTTGAGCACGTGAACTATGGAGGGAAAAGAGTGACCCTACGCAAAGAAACCATTCTTCTTGAAACTGGTTTCGGTGAGAGAGTTTCTTCCCACAAAGTGAAGGGTGGCATCTGGGTGTTGTACGAGGGCATCAATCGTCAGGGTTCCCAGCTGATTACTTTCCCTGGGGATCAAGTTTCCAGCTATCTGGCGCTCTGCTACAATGATATGACCAACCATGTGCGTCCCCTGCTGCCGAAGCCATAGACAGCATCGTTCAAAGTACGCTTTCTGGAGCTGAATATGAACGGATTGTGAAGAACGAGGCAGGTGGCGAGGAAAGACTGATCTTGACCTGAAACGATGTCTGTGACTCCAATAAGTCTGAAGAAACTTCATGCAATTAGACTCAAAGACTTATCATTTGAGGATAGCTGTATAAAGACATACTGTACATGTTAATTTGGCAAAGGTTATATAACAAGGAATGAAATACAGTTTTGAAATTGTTACGGATCTACTACAGATCCTATTGTATTCGAATGTATTTCCCCTGTTTGATGAGAGTGAGATATTGAAAGGGATTTTGGATTTATATTATGCTGAGAAAAAGACAACAGATGCTGTTTAAATCTGTCAACTCAGAAAATAAAGACAATATCGTAATGCTCCTTGTTTAAAATCTCTTTTTTTTACGTTTACATCTGCCTTTTGAGAACTGAAAATTGTTAATAGCCTAATGTTTGTTCAATGCCTATTTTGTATGTAAAATGGTTTATTTCAAAAAAAAAAAAAAACTTTTTTCCGCCACCAAACAACAAAATTAATAAATAAATGCCCCAATTAAAAATGGTGTAAAAAAGCCACTATAGGAGAAAAGTTGCCCCTCTCCATTAAACAGCTGGTCCACCAGCAGAATCTGATCGACTGCCCAATTTTCAAAAAAGAGTGACTTGTTCTTATATAAAATATCTCTGTTGTTCCAAATTAGATACCTGTGAGGTGAGAAATCATGCTTATAAATGAGAGACCAAGCTAAAAAGACCTGCTTGTGAAAAGTGGACAGTTTTACAGGGAGTTTGTCCACATTGTAGTTACAGTTCAAAATAAAGCCCAGACCACCAAATCGAGAGAATATATAGTGGGGAATAAAATTCCAAATCGAGAATGGGTTTTTAAGAAAATTCTTAGCCCAATTAATCTTGAAAGTATTATTTAGAGTATTAAAGTCCAAAAAGTTGAGCCTACCAGATTCTTTATTATTCATAACAACACTTTTTTTCTAAGCATTCCATCAATGTCTTTACAAATTTTACTGTCCAGGTGTAAAGAGAGAGCTGGGTATGTGAGCCGGGATATCCCTTCAGCCTTGGTGAGCAACACTCTGCCTTTTAGAGAAGTCCCTTTGCAACCACTGGTTCAGTTTGCTCTGAGTTTTTTTTAACAATTGGAGAGAAATGTAATGGGCATCTAACTTTCTGATCTTTAGAGATAATAATACCCAAGTACGTAACTTCTTCCTTGATCGGAATGTAGCAAACAGTTTGTGTGTTACACTCTTTTAAAGACAATACATTTATTAATATTTAGGCATAGACCAGAGGCCTCTGAAAACTGATTAATTACCTGAATGGCGACAGGTATCTGACTTGCATTTTTTTTTTAAAGATTGTGGTATCGTCAGCAAGCTGACTGATGATGATATCCCTACCCGCAATAGAAATTCCCTGTATAGCACTGTTACCGACACGAGTTGTGAGAATTTGTGTACAAAGTAAAAAGAGATAAGGGGAAATCGAATGTCACTTTCCAGATAAAATCTAGGGGAAGTTCCATTTTTCAGTATGATGGAGCTATTTGATTTTTATTGCTTTGCAGAAAAAGTCCCAAAACCAAATTTCTCTAAAAACAGATAAATAAATGGGTGTTCTATTGTATCAAAAGCCTTATAGAAATCTAGAAGAGGATGAAGCCATCTTCAGATATCAAGTCAGAGTAGTCAAGAATATCTAATACTAGTCTAATATTGTTAGAGATGTGCCTGTTTCTCATAAAGCCTGATTGGGATTCATCTATAATTGTGTCAAGAGTTTCTTTTGATTGCAAACATCGACGCCATAATTTTGTAATCATTGTTTAGCAGACAAATGGGTCTCCAGCTGTCAATAAAAAGCACATCTTTTCTAGGCTTGGGAATCAATGTAACCAGCCCTTGAGTGAGGCTAGGAGGAAGGGTATAAATCTCTATACTTTCCATAAAAACCTGTGGTAAAAATTGGGGCTAAGAGATCTGAGAACGCTTTGTAAAATTCTGCGGTTAAACCGTCAGTGCCGGCCGGGGGATTTATTGTTTTTGAGTAACTAGAGCAATCGAATCAGTGACCTCTGCCAATGTAAGAGGGGAAATTACTCAATCGTTCATCTTACGATTCTGTAGTATTTATGAAAACAAAATGTAGTGCTTGGCGAGATAATAAATTGAGTTTGACCGTTTCCAAAACTTTAGTTTGCAGAGCTCGGTAGAAAGCGTCTACTCACTCGGCCATCTTGGCTCCCCTCCCCCCATCTGACTGCATTTCGCGGCGCCATGGCAACGCAGTGACGTGACGTCATATGAAAACAAGCTATCACTTTCATTAGCAAGCATCATGATTCAGTTCACTGATACTGACGGCTCAACAAGGCTTTTCTTTCTGATCTAGAATAATAACCACCGTCTAAAACTGGTCAGGAGACCGGAAAGATTTCATATGCATTGAAGGATTTGCTTCTCTTGATTTGAAGTTTAGGCTGCACCTGAAATTACAGGTAATTGTTTTGAGAAAGTATTTTGCAACTGCTATAAAAGTATGTTGTATGTAATATAAAATGTGTACTATGTAATCTGGACATACTTTATCATGTTGTCATCATGTGACCTATCAGTCGCTTCTCTACCATACACAAATCCTCTCCTGTGACCTCATAGTAAAATATCATGTGTGCACTTCAGAATCTCACAGGTATCTGCATACTTTATCCCTACTCTTTTAGGAGTATTGTGTCAAATATATGTTAAAAAATAAACATAAAATAATATAAAAAATATAGACTATATATCAGTGATCAAATATATCATACCATAATAAAAACAAATATAAAAAATATAGAATTTATTATATTATAAAACTGTACAACCAAATATAAGCAACCCCACTAGACTTGATATTTAACAGTTAAAAATGCTTAAATGATACCAGTCAGAAGCATATTCAAAATAAAACAAATAAATACAACGAAAACCAATGATAGTGTGTAAATGAAATAAATAAATAAATCAACTGGAAATTAAATGAAGAAAATCATAACTAAAATAACCTTTACACAAAACCAATTTAATAAAAATCAATACTGATCTGCAAAAGAAGGAGAAACAATAGTACAGTCTTTTCCATTTATTTGGTGATGTGTCACAGGTGACAATAAACTTACAGGAATTTATTTCTGTAATATAAACAAAGCATGATCTGTACATAGAGACAGCTGCAGGAAATTATCAAGAACAAAAAAACAACAACAACATGGATCAGCAGGAGTAAAAACCTTTAAAAAGAGCCTGGGGCAACAAAAAAAAAAAGTGAACAAAACGAACAATGACCTCAACTAGAAGCCTGAAGTGTGCAACGTGGAGATGAACACTGAACAGAGTGCATGTGACATATAGAGTTTGATCCCTGGTTTGGTGGCAGACGATGGCAGCTTTGAGCTCCGGGACGAAATCTAAAACTCACAGTGAGACGCCGAGCCGGAAACGTCTCCGAGATCGAGTATGGCACATTCACTCCAGAGTGAGAAATAAAGACAAACGATGGTGGGAATTAAACAGTCGGGTGTAATCCCTCAGACTCCGGCTGTAAAGGCACGTGGTTTTTTTCTTTTAGTAGTTATTGTTGACGTGAGCACATTCAAACATCTGATTGGACGCTGTGCAAGTGATCAGGTGACCGAACAAAGACACGTGACGGGGATATGGGTGACGGCGTCTGGCTAACACACATTTCTCTAGATTAGAAGTACAAAACCAAATGGGTTCTTTACTATGTACAGATGAGACGTTAACACAAATCTACTCTCTCAGACTATTTGGCTTGTTAATCGTACATCTAGTCTGATGTAACATTGGCAGACAAGAGTCAAGCAACTACAAAAGTACGCAACAGTATTCCCTGCTACAGGTTTACTACGCCTAGATCTACTGTTTCCTCCGAGTAATATTAAACGTGAAGCTTGAGATACTGTACACACGCTCCTCAAGTGTCCTTCAAATAAATTAAACATTATTACCTTTAAACACGACTTACGAACGTATGAAATGCAGGATCCACATAGTGTGCTGTTCAAAATGAAGATTTAGAATGAAATTGTTCCCGGAACAGTTTTAAATAATACAAAATTTGACCTCGACTCACAACATCCTTCATTCATTTAATAAAATGTTCATAAAATATCAGTAACATCAGCAATATTGAACCTTTAAGTTTTATATTCGGGTGTTCAGGTCACATTTCAGTCCCAAAAGAAATAAAAAAACATCCGAGTTTTAGGACTAAAATGCATTAAGACATATTCACTTTCATAACATTTCCAAATTCTCATTGCTATAATGCATCCATTCGCAAATTTTATTTAAATCAGTACAAATTAAAGGCAGTACAATAAATACCATCACGTACAAATACTTAATAATATATCATTTTTTTTGTGGATTATAGTAACGAAAAAGTTTTTTTTGCACTTCAGTCATGAGAATTTGGGGTGAAATGTGCTTAAAATATCATATCAATAGGCTTTTCATTTAGTTTTTTTTTTAACCTAGATTTCATGATATTCACCCATTAAGTGTGTATATTGACTGACGTCCTCCACTCCGCTCATGGAGGGTAAAAACAGTGATAAAATAAATTAAAACCATTGGAGGCTGATGAGAATTTCCTCTTTTTGAAGAATAAAAGTAAACAGTCATTTCTAAAACATCCCACAATGCACTTCAACCAACGGCTGATATTAGCCGACGATACGAATTGATAAAAAAAACCGGAACGAATGAAACCCGAATGTGTGGTGAGGTGGTGCTAAAGGAATGAAGGGTCTCCCGTTTGAGGAGACCTGGACTCGTTACTTAAAGATGAAGTTGAGGAGGACCTGGACGAAGATGAGGAAGAGGACGATGGCGAAATCTCTGTGAGTGAGGAACCAACTTTCCGTCGTCGATTGACTCGCCACTCGACTCCTCAGGGCGTTGACGCTCCTGGATGGCAATGTTAACAAAAGTGAATATTGTTGTTGTTGATTCTGAAGTAAGTATTTATTAGAGATCATGCGGCGTCACCTGTTAATGTCTTCCTGGGTTTTTCTGATCGACTCAATGGCACTTTGGATTTCACTCAGATCTGTTCCTTTCTTCCGGAGGCGGCTGATGTGTTTGCTTTTGTGCCCTGAAGGAAAGACCATGATCAGGTGTTTGGCACGTCGTGGCATGTTTGAGGACGTGTGTGTGTGTGTGTGTGACGTACTCTCGCTGCCTGACGAGTCCTGTCGGTCCGGCTCTGGAGACGAGCAGCCACTTTCAGGACTTTTAGGTTTATCACTCTTATGTTTCCGTTTTGGTCCCGTCACCTACAGGAACACACGCAGACGAGAGCCGAACATTCACACATTTCATTCTTTATATTGTGTCTGAATTATATATGCGATTCTCAGATTTCTGAAAGGCTGCAAACAGGGTCCAAAATTATCTTTTTGCCAGCCATAAATATTTAATACTGGCCATGAAGCTGTATTTTGCATATTTGTGCCATTAGCAATGTTTCCATTCAAGTTTGAAATGTAATTTCTATTTATTTTTACATTTATTACTTGTTTAAATGCAATTTAAATACATTTTATTATTAGATTTATTATGCATTTAAATCTTACATTTATTTATTTAAATGCTAATTTAATTTATAATTATTATTTTATTTATTACATATTTCTAATTTGAAAACATTTAATTTCTAATAAATTTTATTACATTTATATATTTTGAAAAAATTATTAAAAAAAATTGTATTTAATTTCTATTTTTCATTTATTACAACATTTATTATTTAAACGTACATTTAATTTCTAAATATTTATTATTACATTATGTATTTAAACCTTACATTTATTTATTTAAATGCAAATTCAATAATGCAAATTTAACTTCTAATTATTATTTTATTACATATTTTATACAAAATCCCAAGATTCACAAAACAATTAATTTTGGACCCAAGTTTCAAAGATGCATCCCTGCATCCCATAACACAGGCATGCATGCGAGTCAGTTGCAGACGCCAAAGAGCACAAAGAAAAAACAAAAGCTGAAAATGAAGCAGAGTGGTCATGTGACCAGGTCAGGCAGCAGATGATTGGTTGCATTGCAGAACGGTGAATGGTAGGTTGAAGAATGGACAGAGCGCAGGCGACGGCAGGCGATGATGAGATGGAAGCAGAGAGAGGGATTGTGGGAAGAAGAAGGGAAAGGTAGGGACAGAAGGACGTACCTGGCTCAGGTAATTGTCCCTCCGGGAGCCCTGCTGGGTACTGAGACTAACTACACTGGCTGAACGTACCATAGGCGTCCTGTGGCGCACTTTGGTCTGAATACAGCCGTCTTTCTCGAACTGAATCAGATCGTTGAGCGGATCCCACGGACGAGTGCTAGGACACAGAGAGAAACACACCATCCTCACAGTAAACGGGACACGCTACAATGCACTTCCTGTCCAGGAGGGGGCAGCGTGTGTTAGAAAACCAACAGCGAGTGCTGGCCAAACTGCTCTCAAAATCCGTTTTAATGCTTTATTCAATTTTAGCTATCAAAAAAAAATAAAAAAATATTGGGCCCTATGAAATCAGTTTCATTTTTCTGTGTTTTCCTTTAGAATTTTTCTGGATTCAATTTGGTTAAATTAAATAAACAAACTTAATTTTAATAATCAAAAATCATGTCTAATCAATTGAATTCACAAAAAGCTAACAACTTAATTAATAAAACATTTTATAACAATAGGGCCTTGTGAAATGTAACGTTTTTTTTTATCCTGTGTTGAAACATCATAATTTTTTTTTAAGTTGAACAAAAATGACCCTATAAAATCTGTTTTATTTTTTCCCAAATTCCTTGTTTTCCATTCATATTTTCTGCAGTCCATTTTGATGGTTTAGTTAAATAAATAAAATAAAAAAATATAATTGAATCATCAAAAATCATGTCTACTTAATAAAACTCATCAAACTTTAATAATGGAATACAATTTTAATAATAATAGAGCCTAATGAATATTTTTCTGTGTTGTGCTTTAATTTTTCTGGATTTATGATTTAATACAAATTTATCTTCAAACACAGTGGCATTCAAGTGAAGGCATACAACATCAGTTGAGTGAATCTTTTAAAGCGTAATGAAATATAAGTCTGTGCTTACTCAGCGTAGCGGTAATGCCACTCTCCGGTGACGGGGTCTTGCTCGAACAGCGCGGGCATCCAGTCCTCACACTTGGCCTTGCGCTCGCGTGCCGCCTTCCTCTGAACCTCCTCCAGGATGAACTTCTCATTGGTCGCCTCCGTCTGGTCCTTGTTATTTATGGCCCGTGTCACATGTTGCCACAGCCTGAAGATGACAGAGAAAGACTTCTGGAAATGTGTTCCTTTTCATAATAATCGTGAAACTATGTTATTTCTCACGTCACTGAGCATTAGCAATCATGTAGCGCCCTATGAAATCCATTTTTCAGATTTTTTTAGTTTTAATTTTTTCTGCTTTCCATTTTAATGGTAAAATTAAAGCTTAAAGTTTAACAAAAATAAAATTTTTAGGGCCCTAATAAATCTAGTTTTATTTTACCATTTTATTTTCCCAAAATTCTGTTTTCTAATTAAATTTGTCTGTTTTAACGGTTTAATTAATTTTCATTAATAAAAAATCATGTCTAACCAATTGAATTCATAAAACTTTAACAATTTATTTATACAAAAAAATTTCTAGAAATTCTGGGTTGTAATTAATACAATGTATTAATCAAAAATGGTGGCAACCAAAAAAAGGCATAAAACATTATTGTGTTAATCTTTTAAAGTGTACAACAGTGGTTTACTGTTAAAATAATAAAATAGAAAAGCCGTTTGATATTCCAATAATGTCCAATAGTGATGTCACAATTTCTTCAAGTTAAACCGAACTTTTTTTATTTTGGCGGGTTGTAGAGAAGCTCTTTGAGTTTCTGAGTGTAACTGATAATTTTCTCATATGAAATGCTGGTGTAGAGACTCTTCACCAGATGAAGTTTATGTGTTCCTCATATAGTGAGACGGCAGATGCTGAAAACACAACGGGCGCCACGCGTGCTTCAGTGTGTGTGTGTGTAGTGGACGAAACTGTGCCGCTCACGCAGAACATCCAGACTTCAGATCTCAATAGCTGTCTTTTGTGGTTTAATATTCACAGACACTAGTCCATATCACGATTCGATTACGTGTACATTTTGATTTATTCCATAATTTATTTTCCAAATTCCGTGGCATTCCACATTATACTGTATATTAGTGATGCGCGGATCACGGTTATATCCGCGGGCGCTGCGGATCGGGCGGGTCAAGTAATAAAAATAACATTCTGATTAATTTCGGGTGGATATGATAAATCATTATTAACAAAAATATGTCTAAAATGTAATTTTTTTCCGCCAGGCACTAATTTGCACTCTCTTTAAGATATACGCTGCGCTGGGTCCGCTTTGTTAAGCAGAAATGGAGCAGGTCCGAGAGTGAAGTAAAAAAGAAGAATTAAAAACAAAACAAAAGGAAGGAAAGAAAGAAAAGTACCGTGTGGGAGCGATTTAGGCCACGTTCACACCGCAAGTCCTAATGCTCAATTCTGATTTTTTGCTCAGATCCGATTTTTTGATTGGCTGTTCACATTACCTTTTAAAATGTGACCTATATCTGATTGCAGTGTGAACTGTTTGAGGTTTCAAACTAACCGGCATGTGCAAAAGAACAATAACAATGACATCAGACGCAGCACGCGGTTGCACTAAAGTTCGGGAGGTTATGGAGGAAGTAAGCATGTTCGCATTTATTTCAAAATGTTTGTGTAATGTAAACTTTTGCGGGTTTATGGTTGCAAATTCACTACAGAGATCTGTGTGGATGCGTAGACGAAGCCAGGAGTGGTGGGAATATGACGTGAATAGTTTCACTGAGACGCTGTTCTCCTGTGTCCCCGTTCCTCCATTTCGTGTGCAATTTTTTCAAAAACGGAGCGGTTACGGTAGGTCCTTCTAGCTTGAATTGAAGTATCTCCCCATATACTACTTAGATCTAACACCTCACTCTCATTGACTCGCTTCATCGCTGTTCTCCATATCTAGTCAAGTTTTTAATGTTAGGCTACTGTCTGTGTCTGTTGTGTCTAGGGCTTCGCCGGCGCATAATTTTGACAAATGTCGACGTAGATTGACGTAAAAGTCGCATCAAATCCGCCTTGATTGTTCACACTGCGGCCGCATTGAAAAAAATCAGATCTGGGTCTGATTCAGGACCACATATGTATGTGGTCTAAATCTGATTTGAAAAAATCAGATCTGGGCTAGATTTGAGTGTTCACACTACCTCTGAAGAAGTCTGACCTGGTCACTTGACCCAAAAAAAATCAGATTTGGGCCACTTTTGCCTGCAGTGTGAACGGGGCCTTAGCGAAGTGGTTAACGACGATTAATCAAGTGCTGGGTATGTTATATGCAACGGCTGTGAGGTGTTTGTGTGCGTGTGTGTGTGTGTGTGTTTGCCTGTTCGGGAAGTCGCAGTGACAGAAACAGTGACATTCCAGTTTAAGTTTCATGGGAGTAAACCCTGTTTATGCCATTAAGAAAATGAAATTCTGTCAAATAAATTTTGTTTTAAAGAAATGTTCATTTAAAAGCAGCGCTCATTCATCAGTGTATAATGTTACCATTAGAGATGCGTGCATCAACCGTCGCCGAGTCCGCTGTTGCTGAAGGTGATGATCATCCATTCATCATCACGCGTAACAACACACAAGAGTAATTATAATTTGACCATCGGGTGCGGATACTTAAGTTATTGGTGCGGGTGGGTGGCGGGTGGATGATTTGTTTTTGGCTGCGGATTCAGGTGACGTTGGAGCTCATCCGTGCATCTCTACTGTATATATATACACAGGGGTTAAAGTGAAGGGGGGGGTAGATGAACTTATCTTCAATGGCACCATTTATTTTCAAGTATTACAGCTTTATCTTAATGCCGTCTTTTTATGAATGAAAGCCAGTATCACTCATATTATATCTACTGATGTCTCGATGAAAATGATTTCCCCCCAAATTTTAAACATTAGGCTTCAAACTGTACCATACAGAAATTGAATAAGGTTATAAAACAGTCCGCACATACATTTTAAATGAAATTTAGTTTAATCCTTATCAAAGCTACAAGCGTTCTTTAGTCGAGGGCAGTTAGTAATTTTCTCTGTTCTCTCTGTTCTTTAGGTTAACTTTACTGACAGACAGAATTAATGGCTCCTGTCACTTTAAGATCTGCCGCTGCTGACAGGATCTCACGCATCTCATTCTCTCACTACTATTTACTTCCATTTAAGATTGTATTTAACTCATTTAAGACTGTTCTTGTGAGGATACTCGACAAAACTGACATTTTGGCATAAATGTGTGTGTTATTGTTCGTTCAAGCGCGAAAGAGAACTCGATGCGCGCGCGTCTTTCTGTGCGTCGATCTCGTGTTTGTGTGTGTGTGCGCGCGCGTCAGGAGGACATTCACTGAAAGCGCGTTCTCTTTTGTCTTGTCGAGCATGAGTGGTTTAAAGCATTTGCGTGAATAAGAGCGTGATCATAACCCTAGCTAAAGGATGACAGAAAGAATGGATGCTGTGTTAATTGCTTAAATATTTTAACACGTTAGCTGGACAAAAATGAATCGCATGCGAAAATAATCATTTTTTCCTCACGGCCGCACGCCGGAGATCCGGCACGGTGCCGGAATACTTTAAGCCCTGTATATATATGTTTACGAATGAATTTCGTGATCCCGCATCATGTGATGAGCATCAATACCTCTCGGACTCAAACTCGCTCTGTTCTTCAGGAGGAACGGTGCCTCGGATCAGTCGGTCCTGCCTCAGCTCCGGCGTCGGGTTCCAGAACGTCTCCATCTCACCCGTCTTCTTATCGTTGATGAAGACTTCACTGTCCTGTAGAAAACACACAAAATGACAATCTGAATCTCAAAGAGCTCTAAGAAGCCTTAGTTTCAGGTCAAAAGACATTTCGATTTGCTAAAATCATTAGTTGTGGAATTTAGACATATTAGACCACACGCTTTAGACATATTAGACATGCTTTTGACTATTCCGGCCAAGAGCTGCTCACTTTGACATTAAAAAGCGTTTGATTGACATGTAAAGAGACCCATTTTGGGATTTATATGTAACCCTCAAGGCCCTTGCACACTGAGTCCGAAATTTTCGTATGCGTTTTTTCGTATTCGTCATTCTGCAGCTCTGAATTGTCAAAACACCTCTCAAAATGCAGAAAATCCAATCCAATCCCAATTTTTTTATGACGGACGAAAGTTTCCGAGGCAGTGTGTAAACGTAATTGACACCGTGAGGTCGTATTTACTTTTTAACGTGGGAAAATTTAGGACTCAGTGTGCAATGACTTTTACAGTTGATTTCTTGTTATTTTTGTACACACACACACACACACACACACACACACACACTACTCACCCAGTGCCCCTCGAGTGTCGCCAGCACCTCCTTCCCAAGTTTGATCTTCCCGTTGATCTGATTGACACTATCACTGCTGCCAAGGAACGGCTGAGATGACGGGGAAATATCAGTCATGCCATTGAAACAGGTCATACAAAGCATCACCCATTTGTGGATGTTGTGCCGTTATCAGTGTGGCATTTGGTATGATGTGTTACGAATGTGATGTCTGTGGCCTTTCTGTCTGCGCCCCACTGTTCTTCTAAATGTCACAAAAGCTCAAAAACACACATACACACACACACACACACCTTGAGTTTGAACTCCAGCTGAGCGCTGTAGCCCGTCTTCTCACAGGTAATGGACACCTGTCCGCCCAACTCCAGAGTCATAGTACCGTACAGGATCCCTGAGAGACACACAGACACAGAATGTGTGTTAATATGCATGGGTGAATGTTGTATCTGACTGTTACTGAATAAACCTATGTGTGTGTGTGCAAGGACATTGCGATTTTTTGTATTTGCACAGGTTCTCCTATAATAATAATAATAATAATAATCTTTTTTTTTTTAAACCAACAACGCACAAATCACGTTACTGGACAAAGAGCCGTAATACATGACGCTTGCTAAGCCAGAGCTCAGTCTGCAGGAGAAGGGTCTTTGGTAACGCTCTATGATAACAATTCAACATTAGCAAATACTAGTGAAAGCTTAACAGATCAAATATGAAAAAAGTATATTATTAAATGCATATTATATATATATATATATATATATATATATAAATAAAATATTGTTATAATCATGTATTTACACACAAACATATATAAATTTATAATCTTGTTATTTGTATTACTATATGCATTGTATATATATATATACAGGTGCTGGTCAACGAATTAGAATTATTTTAAATAGTGCAATCATGAAATTCTTTGAATGCATTTTTTGTGCAGAAAGCAAATCAGGTGTTCACCGCACCTGTCCTACTCGTTAGACTAATCACAGAACTCGTTATCTGGAAAAAAATTTGCTCAGCTGAGCTTTCCAAAAGGCCCATTTAGGCCATTTAACTGTGACACTGTTGTTTTATTGAATTAGAATAATGGTGAAAGCGTTTCATTGAATTGCAATAATTTTTATTATAATTACAATCATCACTTTCTCAGTATTTTGTGGCTGCCCCTTTGGCTTGTATGACTGCCTGAAGTCTCCGCGGCATCGATTTGACCAGCTTGTCGCAAGTTTCCGCACTCACAGCTTCCCAGGCAGTGGCGATGTTCTGCTTCAGTTGGTCCAGCGTAGTAGGCTTTCTGTCGCGAATTTTCCGCTTGACGATGGCCCAAAGGCTTTCAATGACATTGAGGTCAGGCGAGTTGGCCGGCCATGCCAAAACTTCAAGCTGTTTTTTAGTGAACCAATCTTTGGTCGACTTTGCCGCATGAGCCGGTGCAAGATCCTGTTGAAATATGAAGTCTTCTTCGCCGAACTGTTCCTCAACAGTCGGAATCAGGAACGTTTCCAGAACATCTTGATATACGGCAGCATTGACAGTCTTCTTGAGGAAGCAGAGTTTCCCTACACCTCGAGCGGACATGCATCCCCAGACCATAACGCTCTGGGGAAACTTGACGGATCTTTTCACGCACTCGTGGTTGTAGGTTTCGCCACCACGACGCCAGACACGAGGACCTTGGTCACCGAAGGAGATGCAGAAGCGTGATTCGTCACTGAAGACCACTTTCTGCCAGTCTTCAGCAGTCCACTCGCCGTGTTCTTTGGCCCACTTCAGCCGTTTCACCATTTGTTTCTTGTTCAGCATCGGTTTTACTGCTGGAATGCGAGATTTGAAGCCGAGTTCGCGCAGACGACGGTAAGTGGTTGATCTGGAGACGTCAGCGCCGGTCTGCTTGTTCCACAAGTCGGTGAGCTCGGAAGTGGACTTGAACCGGTTGCTGACTGCGATCTTTCTCAGCTGCTTGTTGTCGCGAGCAGAAGTTTTTCGGACGCCGGAACAGTTGGTGCGCTTGCTGCAGTTTTTCTTGAGAGCTTTGCAGACGGAAGACTGGCTGATGCCGAGCTGCTCAGCAATTTTAGTTTGGGTCAAGCCTTGTTGGCGAAGGGCTTGAATTTGAGCCACTATTCCGGTTGAGAGGTCGCGCTGCTTACCCATGATTGATTTTACAACTTAGAAATTCTACTCAACCCTGACTTTATACTGCACAGTGAACACTCTTCACAGAAAACAAAAATTTGAGCATTTATTCTAATTCAATGAAACGCTTTCACCATTATTCTAATTCAATAAAACAACAGTGTCACAGTTAAATGGCCTAAATGGGCCTTTTGGAAAGCTCAGCTGAGCAATTTTTTTTCCAGATAACGAGTTCTGTGATTAGTCTAACGAGTAGGACAGGTGCGGTGAACACCTGATTTGCTTTCTGCACAAAAAATGCATTCAAAGAATTTCATGATTGCACTATTTAAAATAATTCTAATTCGTTGACCAGCACCTGTATATGAATAAATCTTTATAAATATACATGACAACTACAATACAATTATGAATCGTATTATATATATATATACACAATTTTTATAAATATTTATAATTACATTATTTTATAAATTACTATATTTATAATAATTATGAATCATTAATAATATGTAAAAATAAGTATATATATATATATATAAACAATTAACATTTAATATATTTACATTACAAATATCATTTTACAAGTAAATTACATAAATATAAATACGGTACATATCCATATTACTAAATATTAAACACAAATATATTATTATTAACATGTATGTGTGTGTGTGTGTGTATATATATATATATATATATATATAGAGAGAGAGAGAGAGAGAGAGAGATAATATATATGATTTTTAATATAAATAATAAAATATACACACTTTAGTAAATACATAATATATATAAATTAAAAACCATTTAAATGTACATTAGCTAAAGATCTGTTAAGCGTTACATAATGAACTATTGTTTTTCTTGTTATTATTAAGAGATATACTGTATAAAGTGTTACCAAACCGTCATATTCTTCTAACTAAAATGCAAAATCTAGCCTGGATACTGCACACGTATCTAAACCAGTCCAAACGAGTGACTAGACATGTAAACATACCTAGATGTGTCCCTACAGAAGACAACGGGGATAGGGTTAGTCGTGCAGTATGACTGTTAGCTGTGCTGACGGGTGATAGTTCACATTAGCGTATATGTGCACGTGCGCAAACAGACCTTTGCAGTGAGCGTAGGGCATGTTCATCACATAGTCCTCCCCTCTGTTCAGAAACGACAACCTGGCTTCACCGTCCAAGATGGCCGACAGAGAGTTTCCTAAAAAACACCAACAAACTCACAATCAGACGTGTGTGTGTTATACAAAATCATGCGATTTAATAGTGTATCTTCTGTCTCACCGTAAAACTTGGACTTGGCCAGGATGCTGCCGCTCAGACAAAAGCCATCCTTCCTGTTACTGACATAAAAGGCTGACACTGGAGGATGATGGGATACCTGGAGGACAACATATGTATTATCTTGGTGTGTAGTTCAATAATATACTAACTGGAAGCAAAGTGGATGTCACTGCTTTACCTGCTCTGCGATGTAGAAGGTTTTGCTGTTTGTCTTGGTGTGGATCCATAAACAGCGAAATGTTTCTCCGATAATGGGGTTATACGGTTTCTTTAAACCCTGTCAATGACGAAAATATGAAAATATGAAGTCAAATGACAGATTTGAGACGCCTGATGGCTGTAAGTGAATCTGTCTTCACCTTTGGCTTCTTGTAGAATCCAGAAATGTACCATTTGACCACCTTCTTCATACGGTTATAAGCGTTCTCCTCCACCGCCGCTCTGATGACACAAACCACAGACAATTATGATAAAGCTTCTTTAATAAAACAAACTAAATTCAGATTTTATGTATATTTTTACATTTTATTTTGCCTTCACACTGAGGACTATATGTGGACGAACAATCCAATGAAATAAAGTACATTTATTTATTATTATAATAATCACAATAATAAACAATTTATTGTGATTATTATTAATATGAATAAATGTCATTTAATTAATTGGATTATTATTTAATAATGCTAAATAATGTCCTTAATAATGCTAAAATAATTTTAATATAAATTACATTTAAAAATATAAATTAGTGCTGGGCAACGATTAAAATTTTTTATCGCGATTAATCGCATGATTTCTTGCGATTAATCGCGATTAATCGCGTTGTTACGCGCAATATTGAATAATGAATTCTAAAGTAGTGTATTGCGCACTTTTGATTTAAATGTACTGCTACAAAAGTGCAATAACATGTGGTTTGCAAAAACTTTAAACAAATAAGGTGCTTTTATACCAGCAGTATTCCCTTTACACAGTATCAATAAAATATTTCTTGTAAATCTCAACTTAAACATTAACGTAATCAAATCAAATACTGAATATATTTATCTAGCTTGTTAAAACGAGTCCAGTTTTTTTTTCTTTTTTTTTCTGAACAGGTATCTTGTATCAGGGAGCAGCAGAAACAGTCTATGTAGTCAAAGGGTCATGATCACTACTACAGATATAAGTCGACCAACGTTACTTCTCTGATAGCAGCTTAGGTTTGGTCATGGCATGCCATGGTTTCCCACGTAAGATTACATTAAACAGAGGTAAAGCCCAATTTATACTTCTGCGTCGAACTCACGCCGTAGCTGTGTAGCGCGCGTACCCTGACGTGCATCTCTCCAAAAATGTAACGTCAATTCTACGCGTACTGCAAGCGCTGTGATTGCTAGAACCGCTCCCCGGGGTTCACACTCTCCCTCTGCATGTGTAATTGCGCGTCAACGACGCAGATTTATAAATGAAAACCAACGCGTAGTCTATAGCGTAGAGGCTCCGGCTTAGGTCCGACGCAGAAGTATAAATCAGCCTAGAGTGAGGTGAAGTGGTCGAGCACTGGTGCAGCGACAAGCGGGTGCGTTCCTGTGAAACTGTTGCGGTCATGCTCGCCTCACGCACGCGCCCGCGCGTTGCCGAAGTTGAATTGTCTAACTTTTTGTACACGACGCGCAGCACAAATCATTGGAAGAGAGACTGATCCTTGGCTCGCTGTTTGTGAGTTTCCAGAATCTAAATAGTTATCAGGACATCAACAGGAGGGAATTCACATGGCAGAGCATCCCCGCTAAACTAAACGCAGGCCTATCAGGTAAAGTTATGTATAATTTTAATTTAAGTTAAAAAGACTACAGCTGCGTAGCGCACAGAAGCCGTTGCATGGTTACTATCCATAGAGCGCCTGTCATTCACTCGCGGAGCGCTTTCTCCCTTTCTGTTCACCTGAGAGAACCTGCCAAAGCCTCTCCACTGCTTGTTTGGGTGGGTTATTTGCTGGCTGACCAACATCCCACCCCTCCTGTGATCATGGTTTGACTGTAGGCCTATGTGTATTCAGAGCCAGTGAGCAACGGACTTTCAAAATAATAATAATAAAAAAAACTGCGTTAACGCGCGATAAAAAAATTGTCGGCATTAATTAATAAATGCGTTAACGCGATAATAACGCGTTAACTTGCCCAGCACTAATATAAATATAATATTTTAAAAATCTATATAATTTTAACACATTATTTGTTTTTAAACACAATTTAATGTTTTTTAAATCACTTTAATTTTAGAACAACGTATGTTTTTTAAAACACAATATATTTTTTAAGTAGGACCTAACAATGCACTAGATTTGTAACCAGTGTCATTTTATTATTATTCATAAACTACTACTACTAGTTATTAATATTTCAAATTGATATTAATATTTATTTTCATATGTTAATTGTTAGGTTCATTTAGTAATTTTATGGTGTTCTTTAATTAATTGTTATTAATTTATTTATATTTTGCATGATTTTTATTTCAGTTTTAGTAGTGCTTCAACTATGTATTTCACTAACAATTTTCATTTTAGTTTTTCAACAAACATTAACATATATTCATTCAGCTTTATTTCAATTATTTTATTAGTTTCCGATTTATTTGGGAATATAAAGGACCATCTGAATACTCTGAACGTCACTGTGTGCGTGTGTGTGTGTGTGTGTTATCTTACTCCGACAGGAAGTCAGCGTGGTAGTAGTAATCAGACAGTTTGTCCAGGAAGGATCGTGGCTCCAGGATGAAGGTGGGCAGAACGACTTTGGACAGGTCCATGCCGGGCCGGACCTGCTTCAGTAGAGTCCAGATCAGAGATTTATTCTCTTCTGATACCGTCTCTGTCTGAGCCGCTTCGCCAGCCTGAAAAACACAACACACACACAGATTGAGTGAACAGATTGTGTCATATCCACCACAGACTTTCTGTTCATCTCCCCAGCTGTCTGCTGTAAAAATAGACGTCTGAATATTGTGTTAGCATCTGTGCATTAATAGCACTCCACTTGAGCCAAACGACTTATAATATGACAATTCATCATGATAATGTCATTATTCACGTAGCATTTACAGTGTTTTTAAATGAGGGATTGTATATAGCTGGACTTGACTGGCACACACACCTCTCCGAGCTCCTCGTGGCTCTGCTCAATGTACGGCGTTTCCCGCAACGTCTCGTTGGGATCCATGTCGACGTACGAGTCTTCCTGTCGCTCCGACGTGTCGCTGTCGCTCTCTTCACTTTTATCCATCACCTCATTTTCCCACTCCTCCTGCTCCTGCTCATTCTCACGGTCCGACTTATCAGAATACAGGTCTGGATCCTTAAACTGGTCACTGTCATTAAACCTGGTGGATCACGCAAACTCTCAGTTAGTACACAAACACAGGACTTACATTAATCGGTGACTAGTGATGCGCTGACTACATCAGGTTTGGTTAATGTAAGCGTATAGAGTATAGAGAAGTTAAAACTGTGGGTTAATAGTGAAAATGCTTTTTGACGACAAGTAATAAACCTTTAAAAACGGACCTACTGTGAGCCAAGAGGTTGTTAATCGATTGTATAGGCTTTTGTTAAAGCCGTTAGCCCGCATTATTTCAACTTATTTTTGAAATAATCATGTTTACCAGCTGAATTTGATGAAAAACGACATTACCCATGATGCAGTACAGACAATTCCCCCAATCAGAGGGTTGCAACAAGCAAAATACGCCAAAAGAGCTCTTTAGCTGTAAAGCATGACGGTCTTTCTATGCTTTCTTTCTTTCTTTGCAATAAACGTAATTTTTTTTTTATGTCATCGCAATGCTTTCTTTTGTGGTTATTTTCCTCGCTAAAGCCGCTAAGTACGCAGTCTTGTACCTTTATCTTTTAGTCTGATTATCAAATACTTTTTTGCTTCAAATCAAAGTTTGTAATGTAGTGATTCACCTCATAGCTGGCTGTTTTAGTTCATGGTGTATAACGCTTTTATAAAGACTATTTCTAAATCCCTATGGGAAAAATGAATGGAAAAAATACTTCCAGAACCAACACCACTGAAAAAGTAGGCAGCATTAATGTGCTCGATCGTGAATGTGCATGTAAACGTAGTCATTGAAGATTTATATCATTGGTTATCATTTTTCTAGTGAGCCATAAAATAAAAATAACTATCTGGTATTATATTAGCCAAGACTGAACTCTCACTAAAGATTTCAAGTAAATGTCACGGCACTCTGCCGCTGATCGTCCGTCATTAAAAATGAATATGCAAGTTCATGAAGTGTCAGTTTTTATCAATGCTGAATAAAATATGAATCTAAAGAGCCCGTAACATGCCAGCTCAGTGTGTTAATGTGTTCTCACTGAAAGCCCTGCATGTTGTGCGCCCGCAGGAGACTGTAGAAGTTGATGTGCTCTGCGGTCTGTGGCGTCTCCTCTTTGCCCTCTCTGATCATCGTTCTCTTCAACAAACTCGAGCATTTCAGAGCCAGTTCAAGAGCGTCCATCCAACATCGGCCTGCACACATCACGCACAAGATTGAAGCCGCAGGAAAATACAGCGCTTTATTTGGTCAGTCTGTTGAGTGTGTGTCTCACCGTCAGATTCTGAAGCCGCTCTGAAGATCAGGTGGCTGCTGGGTAACGGCTGTGTGATGGACCCCACGGCTTCTCCTTTAGGGCCCTGAGACACACGTAAACACAATAAACACTTCATCACACTATCCAAATGGTACTTTTTACACTTATAAAAGAATATTAGAAGTATTATATTCTTTTTATATACTTTATATTTCTTTTATACACTACCGGTCAATAGTTTTAGTCAACGATAAGATTTTTTTTTTTAAACTTCAGTAAGGACACATTAAATTGAGCAAGGGAGAAAGTAAAGACATTTATAATGTTTTCTTTTCATCAAAGAATCCTGAATAAAATGTGTCACGGTTTCTACAAAGATATGAAGCAGCACAACTGTTTTTAACACTGATAATAATAATCAGAAATGTTTCTTGAGGATCAAATCAGCATATTAGAATGATTTCTGAAGGATCATGTGACACATAATTTTTTACAATATATTCACATAGAAAAGTTGTACAAATATTTCACATTTTTTACTCTTTTTTTGATCAAATAAATGCAGCCTTGGTGAGACTCCAGACCCCAATCTTATAAACGGTTGTGTGTTTTTAAATATTGAATGTATATTTTATATTAAATTATTTTTATATTTAGATAATTATATATTTTTTGTCTTACTATGCCTTTAAGACTTCTTTTGGCACTTCAAAATTAGAGGTATGAGTAACATAACTGCTCCGAGACGCGAGGGTTGAGGATCCATACGCAGTTTAATGGGTTAATCCACAGACATACACAAAGGCCAGGCAAAGGTCGAGAAACACAGATGAGCAGTCCAAACAAAGACAATGTCCAGGGCTAAAGCAAAACCAATGATATCCAGGGAACAGAAATAACAAAGATCCAGGGAACAAGGCTCAGAAATGCAGTACTTGCATACTAACAAGACCGAGGGAAGAGTGACTGAATTGACCCTGCGCAGGGAGTTTGATTGACCAATCATAATCCGCCATCCATCGAATCCGCCATTTTTTTCCGACAAAGCGGTCAGGAGAGTTACTAGATTAACGTTGGAGGATTTGAACATGAAAAACGGAGTGTACTGACGTCTTTCCGCGGTTAAAACAACATTCCTTCTGATGTTCATTCATGTTTATTTGACACTATAAATTAACTAGAAGTTAAGATCTTTTGGTTTAATATCTTCAGTTTAATTTCTAGGATACTTAAAATACAATTGGAGCCTAATCCTCACATTATTATTTTAGGAATTTCAGATGATATTAAAAGGTTAAACAACTACCAACAATGCCTCCTATAGTCTCATCACCGCAAAGAAGCTACTTCTCATGCATTTGAAAAATAAAAGAAACACCCACCACAAAGTTATGGCTCAGTGATCTTACTAACACTCTCTACTTAGAGAGAATACAATATATTCTTATGGATAAACTCCCACACTTTGAAAAAGTTTGGTCACCTCTCATTCACTATCTCTCTCCTGGCAGTGGAAATTAATGTTTCCCTCTAACTATAATAAAGTAGTATTTAGACGGAAGGATAAGGCTGGGTAGGGTGGGAAAGAGGGATTATTTATGTTTCTTTTCTTGTTTTTTTTTCTGTACTCTGTATGTTTATCCATTGATTCTGTTCTTTTTTTTGTGTTGTTTTGACATTGTTGTATATTCTAAAACAAAAAGAGGACAGTATGTCCTAACTGCACACATTTCTATGTGGTTATACATTATACTCCTGTGTATGATGTAGATAATATAACGATGTGAATATGTGCTCTAATAAAAATATTTGAAACATAAATGAACTAGAAGGAAGAGATGATCGGTTCACGAGCAGCTTTAACTGAGGCTCTACAGCGATCTGTCAGACACATTAAAGAGCCACAAAATGGTATTTATTGTTTAATTATTTTTTTTAAATGACCAAATTTGAAAGGTGAGACTTTGTTTCACATCAAAAGTAACCTGGTCTGTCCTGTCTGTCAGTGTCCTCTCTGCTCCACGATGTACTTTTCACTGCGTGAGAACATGGTGTGAGAGCGGCGGACATAGCAACAGTAACTAAAGGGGGCGGGGCTTTGCGAACGGTCAATTAACCAGGTTTATATAGGCAGAAACGAACAAGCAACAGCTGAATACAATCATGGCTGATACTCTGGGCAGTGGGTTATGGGTAATGTAGTCTTTGCTAGGGTGATAATAGTCTGAGGTGGAGTACCCTCTGATGGTTATCAAGGGGAACTCTCACTGGTGATCGTGACAGTATGTCTACTCCAAACATTTAAGTTTCAAATGATAATGCAAAACAATGCAAATCCAAAAAGGTTCAGGTTACTCCGAGTTTTCTCATGTACCTTGACGGCCCAGATGGACTGCTCGAGGGGGTGGAAGAGCTTGAAGCAGAACCCGTCCTTCTTCGAGGGTCTCTCGATGAGCTCACAGGCGTTGAGCAGCACGGTACCGACCCACTGGCCGTTCTTATTGGTCTTATAGATCAGCAGGACGCCTGGCTTCAGCACACACCACAGCTTGGTCCAGCTCTTCAACGTGCCACGGATCTGAGAGAGAAAACGGGCTCATGTGAGACTGGAGGTCATTTTAAGGATGTTTTCTCATGTGGTTTGATTACTTGATCCGAACATAAGATCGATTTAACTTCCCTTTCTCCTGTCCCTGCAGGTCTTTTTTGCATACTATCACATTGCTTTAATCAATGTGAGTGTCACTGTGATTATTAAAATCAGCTGTTTACCCCTGCAGCGATGTAAAGACTGAGGAGGAGACGTCAAAAAATAAAAATGCTGTTCACTTTTTAATCATGTTTTTGTCCTGTTGGGTTCAACCACCAAAACGTAATAGCAGAGCACTTGCATCTGTCTGGTGTGGATGAATTACGTGAGATTCAATGAAGAATAAGACATTTTTTAGATCATTTATGTATAAATGGACATGTATTATACTACTTATGCAGACTGTATTCCAATCAAAACCGGTATCTGGAAATTAGGCCGAATTGCTTTCATATTATTTGTGAACCATACAACCGAAACGCAGACTAGAGCTGCACAATTCCGGATAAACTGGAAATCACCATTTTTTTGTTTAAAAAAAGAGATCTCTATTCTGAGCAGACGACTAGATAAAATAGCATGTCATTTACTAGTGGTTCTGAGAAAATGTTAATTGCTGCAGTGAAATTAAAAAAAAAGTTCGAGTGAATGATTCAATGACTCGCTTGTAAAGACTTCAGCGTTTTGAACGAATCTGTTGAATGAATGATTTAATGACAAATACATTTTTAAAAGTTGCTTGTCGCCACCTACTGGTGTACCGATGTCATTGATACAATTTTTATTTGAAGCATCAAGTTACTTTCAAAAGGTGATTTGCTCTATTTTTACTATATATTAGTAATATGATAGTATATTATATTTATACTATCAGTGTTTATCTATAAACCAGTACTTCTGTGATAATTTGAGAGATACTGTGTGGTTGAAAAGACCTATTCATGACAACTGCTATCTCTGGGTTCGCTGTGACTGTACTGGGATGGACATATAGCCGAATCGCTGTCATTTATGAATGCAATTAATTTAGCAATTAATTGTGCATCTGTACCGCAAACACTCATGTTTTCCCGATGCAACTAACTTGATTCCACACCGAAACCTCCAGTATGAAAAAGGCCTGTAAGAATAAACACATTTTAATGACACACCTTGAGCCAGTCGGCCATGACGATGACAGACGGATCAGTGATGGTGCTGAGCAGTTCTTTAGTGGCGCGTTTCTTCTCTTCCCTGTAGTTCTTCTTTTGCACCTGAACAAGCATCACAGTCATAATTATTGGTCTTTAGTACTCATAATGCATAAACAGCTATTAAATGCAAGAAACACAGTGCAACTCTGGGTGCCATTAATGAGTGTGGCTATACCTTGAGAGACTCCTTCTTTGTAAGTTTGTTTCCAGACGCAGATACGTCCTTGTCTGAGCCATTATAGAGCTTGGTTTCCGACTGTGAAACCAACACAGACTTTAATAATTAGCACAGCATACTGCACATCATGATATTTTGAGCTGCGCTTTAGCTTGGCCTCAATAAATGTCATAATTCATTAAACATGCACACATATAACTATTAACTAAAAACCAAAACCATAAAAAAAAAACATTCATTACTAGAAATAAAATAATCATTACATGAAATAAAATCAAGCGGAATTTTACTTTGGCAACTAGCTGAAATAAAGTTTTATTTTTTTATTGAAGTATTAAAATAACTATAAATAAACTACATTAACCCTCTGGGGTTGTTCGGCCCAAATGGACCCGAATCATTCAAATAAAAAAATGTTAAAAATCACAGCTTCTTCGGAATGGTCCGAAATTTGGTGACTTTGTTGGTATTTGGTATATGAACACCCAAAAAAATTGGGGACAGGATGTGAACAGTCTAAGTGGTTGTAAAAAAAATAGTCACACTCAGGACCTTCGGGTCCAAATGGACCCCCATAGGAAATGAATGGGAAATTGGCAAAAATGTGAAAAAACAGAGTTTTTTGGTGCGTACAATCTACAAATCAGCCACAATCAATAAAAAAAGCACACAACAGTGAAGGGGTGAATCTATAAAACATCAAGAGTGCAAAACAGACACATTCACACACACACACACACACACAATTATACACACTCATAAATTCAGATTACATAAATCTGTTTTGAATTTTTAAAAATCACAGCTTCATCGGAATGTTACGAAACTAGGTGACCTTTATGGTATTAGGTATGTGAACACACAAAAAAATTGGGGACAGGATCTGAATAGTCTAAGTGGTTGTAAAAAAAATAGTCAAACTCAGGACCTTCGAGTTCAAATGGACCCCCATAGGAAATGAATGTGAAATTGTCAAAAATATGAAAACACAGATTATTCAATATGAAAACACAGACTATTCAAATAGAATAGCCTATTTGAATAGTCTAAGTGGTTGTAAAAAAAAAAAGAAATACTCACACTTAGGACCTTCGGGTCCAAATGACCCCCATTGGAAATGTATTATATATTTTTAATAATCTGTATTATAAAGTAAAACTGGCACTTCAAATTACCATTTAAACCAACCAAACAAAAAACAAGACAAAAATAGTCTTTGAGAATCTGTTATTATATTTTAAAAATCAACAACCTGAAAAAAAATTGGTATATATTTGCAAAAATCACTAGAATCCCCAAGCCTTTCTACAGAGAGCTGTAAATCCACTAGTGGTAAAAATGTGCTATTGCGTGATAAAAATGCTCAGTGTGTCCACCAGATGGCATCTATATTTTTTCAAAAATTGCTTTCATGAGGCCTAGGCTTCACTCTAATATGTAATACAGCTTTGATAAAAAAAAAAAAAAAAAAAAAAAAAAAAATCTATTATGTTAAATGGGTCATAATTATTGCATAAATATTAATTATAAATCATGAAATATCTCAAAACACCAAAAAAGAAAAGAATTTTTTTAAAATAAAAAACAAGTAAAAAAAAAAAATTTATGATTTTTTTTTTTTTAAAATGAATCCTGCCCTTTGGGTCCATTTGGACCCGAACACCCCAAGTGTGACTGTTAAACGAACAACCCCAGAGGGTTAAACTGATTAAAAATCTTTTTTTTTTTTTACGATTCTCTCACGATTCTGAATAGACAACTAAAGAAAATAACATGTAATTTACTAGGGGTTCTGACAAAATGTTTATTGCTGCAGTCTATTTAAAAAAATATCTAATTCATTTTATTAATTTTTTTTGTAAAAAAAAAGAAAAAGATAAAAGTTTGAACGAATGATTCAATGACTCACTCATAAAGAACGAATCTCTTAACGATTTAATGTCAAACAGATTTCGCTCGTCGCCACCTACTGGTGTAAAGATGTAATTGATACAATCTTTATTTGAAGCATCAAGTTAATTTCATAAGGTGAATCGATGTCATTTAAGAATAAGATCGCATGGGTGCAGCACTATAAAAATATAAAAAATTATTTAAAATATAAACAAAAATTATAACAGTATCTCAATGATACCAAAATAACACTGCAACACACATAATATAATAAATATAATATAAATGTTTAATGTTTATTGTAAAAATACAAAGGAAAAACAGCTAAAAAAAAGTAGTGTATTTTTAAAAAGAAATAATGCAAAATACAGTTTCATGAATAGTAAGAAGCACTTCAAGTCTGAACATTTACTCAGATCACCAGGTGGGTCAAAACATAATTTCGGACCCTGGTGTCAGGTAAAGATCTGTCTTTTAATTTCACACTGAAGCCTTTCAAAGCCGATTATGAGAAATATCTTCACGTAAACAGTGGTTAAATATGCCTTTGAAAGGGTTTGAAAGATATCAGCTAATTCCACACGGCGCTCTCACGCTCTTCTGGACTGCAATCCGGCGCTCGTGTTTGACGGGATCTGTGACTTGGGATTTATTAGGGATTGCTAGTGCATGTATTAATGGTCTGTCTGGATGTGGCGGCACGTCCACGACATCCAAAACCTTACGCAAACCTGAAGCAATTTGATCATATTACCGAGTGTTGGATGTTAACAGCATCTTCTCGAGGGTTATTTCTGATGCGCTGCTAATGAATGTACAGTCCTGTCACCTTTGAGATGCTCTTGACTATGTATAATTAATAAACAAGGCCTGAAGATTGCTAGAGGACCAGCCGACCCACATTGATCCGATTCCAGGCCTCAGAGGATCATGGGCGGGGAGAATAAACAAGAGCCTGTGTGAGTGTGAGTTTACCTTGCTCTTGGATATGGAGTGTGAGGAGTCTTCTTTCAGAGGCAGGATTTCTTCTTTGCCACGTTCAAAACCTGCAAAAAACAAGACATTGTAATTCAACTCGACAACTCGACTAGCTAGGCTGATATTTAACCATTTATATTACTGGGCATATACAGATATATCAAATACAAATATCAAATACTGAAAGGCTTTGGAACCTCTTTGCACTGTGTTTTGTGTTTTTTCTTATTTTTTCCCCTTTCTTTCCTTAACCTGTGTAAAATGTATCACCAAATATATCACAAGTCATGTTATACAATAAATAAAAAGTTTTATATAATAGTAATTTACAAAAGTCTATATACAAACATATATACATGTAGGATTCTCATGGTAGCAACACCAGTGATATTTCACTATTCTTGATACGACCTTAAGTCTAATGATTAACTTGAGGTAGGTTACGTGTTGCTAATAAACAACAAGTGCAGTTTATACTTTGGTAAAAACAAGAGACATTTCTCATCGAAAAACCTGTATTGGTCAATGTTAAAGGTTCACTAAGGTCTAAAATCTGATCCCAGACCTGCACTTAGAGGCTACAGCTTTCCATTAGAGCAAAATATGAGATTATTTCAGTCCCACGACCCTGAGAAAATCTCTCAGTGACGGCTGTATCAACACCTCTGAATGCCGTGAGTCAGAGATTCACAACGGCTGGAGGCGCGCACACACACACACACACACACACACACACACACACACACGTTTTATGGGGTCTTTACATAGACATAATGATATTTATAACCCTAAATGTACCACTAAACCTACCCATCACAGAAAACTTTCTGCATTTTTTCCATTTTTATGGTATGGTATTTAGTAGGACTTATAAGCTGTTTTCCTCATGGGGACCAAAAAATTTCCCCACAATGTAGGGAATTACCTGAACACACACATTCGCTTCGACAGCTTGCACACATGCTACTCCATCTGATCTCTTAACGACACAAACGGCTCTTAAACATCACCTGAAAACAACAGGTGTAGCAGGAATCATGTTTAATGTGTAAATGTATACATGTATAAATATTATTAAGCAATATATATATAAATGTTTTTTTTTATGATTTTAGTTTGTTAATGATAATAGCACTGGTGTGTTTTGATGGTGGTGGACGTGTCCCATATCTAAGGCCCTGAGAAAAGAATAACACTTCATCATAAGCAAAAAAAACAAAACAGTTTCATTAGATAAGGCCGAGGACGATCTGTCAATGTCACTCTGTCAAGACCAGTTAGTTTCTTAGGCATGAATAGCACAACTGTCAATTTAAATAACATCTCTACTTGACGGAATCATTGTCTTGACTTTGTTGGCTGGGAGTGTAATAAAAAAAAGTTGGCAAGTTAATTCAAGTTATGATTGAAGCTTATAGAAAAGCTTAATAAACAGTTTTCTATCCAATGCTGACATATTTTCTATTGACACAGTAAGACAAAGATTTTAAAGAGCTATTAATTATTATTATGCCTTATTCTGCAAGCCCATATTCTACATCCCTTAATCCTACCAAATACCTACATTTAACAACTGCCTTACTATCATAGTTAATAGTGAGAATTGGATCCTAAACTAATGTGTGACAAAAAATATACGTTATAAAAAGTTGTAAAGAAAACAAAATTGTGTGTTTTACAAGAAAATACAATTACAGTCAAATCATCATGCCAGTGACTTGACATTTCTTTATAATTAATTTTGAAATGCACTTGCAATTTCTGAGAGAAAATTGTCAATTGAAATTGAAAATTGTTCTGCTAAATAGTTAATTTTATCACTTAGATTATCTCAAAGCAACAACTGCTGAAAACTTAAGATATTTCAGTCCAGTTTAATCACAAAGGCACAACAGCAGACAACTCGTTCATGCTATAAGAGTCACAGAAGATGCTTTAATAAAGGAAACGTGTGCATTTTACTGACAGACCCGGACCATTTTCAAGCTGTTCCAGCATCTGCATCCAAATGAACAGACCGAGAGCAAAGATGCACTCCTGAGGTTTTTGGACCAACCGAACCGCGATGGATGTAAACGACGACCCATCGATCAGGTTAAACGGCTCTTTTGTCTCTGTTGTCGATTGCCGGGGCAAGCATTGTGTTCATCTCAGAAAACACTGCAGTCCAAGAGCTCTTAAACATGTTAATCATACGCAGAAAAACCCACATGTCCTCAACCTGATGAGAGCATCAGCATAACTCGCCTGTTAGCATATTAGTTACCTATTCTGCTGCCGCATAAATCTGCATTAACCTCGCTTCTCATTTAACAACAGGCTCAGATTTACTGAGCAATCTGACGTCACTATCTTGAATCTGTTCCCATGCATCTTTTCCTGTCTTCTCACTGCTATCCTATCGATTAAAGTGAGCAGTTACATTGTGAATAATGGAGGTCTAAAGACGAGCAGCTCTCAGATCAGATGTAATAGTTCCTCTTGTGCTCAATATGCTGATGGGACAGCTGGGAAATTAAGTTTAGAATATGACACGCGATGCATGATATTAGCCCCACACACACACACATACACACACTCTCTCTCTCTCTGATATCTAGTGTCTGACCTCAAGTCTGTCCTTAAAAACATCAACAATAAGCATAAGTGGCCTTAAAATTAGTGTGCTATCAGTTTAAATAAAATTTACATTGCATTTAAATGCAGAAAATGTACTTAGAATAGAAGTCTAAGGAAGAGAGTGAACAACAGTTTTTTAACCAAAACAGGTTTTTGTTCCAGACATGCAGAACCGAATAATAATGTTTTATTTTTCCTTTCAGACACATAAAAACCCTAACAACTTGCATTATCAATATTTAATAAAAATGATGATATTCCTAAAACATTCAAATGTTTTGTTGTAGTCTAATTAATCTGAATCATTATTGTAATATTTTTTTGATAACAACAAAAACAATAATATTGACAGCTCAATATTATGATGTATATATACGAGTTAAAATGCCCATAAAATTCAAGATATCAGGGCAAAAAATGCCCCTGTATGAGTTTTAGTCGTTTATTTATATCATATGATATAGGCTAGTTAAGCAATATCACACACAGTGCTGTTTATGTCCAGAAAAGCGTGCAAATAGGATATTGATTTCATGCAACAGTTCAATAAACAAGAAGTTAATATTGTGTTATATTTTAGACTAAATATTGTCTGTTCTTGCTCGATTTTGCCAACGAAAATATTACGAACAAGCCAGAGCAGAACTGTAGTGCGTCTCCGAGTAACACACACACACAGCAGTGTTTCGTTTCTGAATGAATCCGCGTTTTGAGCGACTCAATCGGGTGAGCCAATGATTCAATGGCCCATTCATAAAGAGAGCCATTTACTTCATTCATGAATGAATCAGCTGTTTGAACGAATCGAATCCGCACAAAATCCTCCGACATCATCCTGTCAGTCATCTTCTCTTAATATCTACATGTGATAAGTGAAATCTGATGTACTGTAATGTAACAGAATACCGCAGCAAGCCTAACCATGTCCTTTTAGGGGCTTTTTTCGTGCCTTCGAATTCAGATAAAGGCTTTGGGAACATCCCTAATACACACACACACACACACACACACACACACACACCAACCTTTATATGTCTTACATTATTCTTTTATGTCTTACAGTTTTCTCTGCATATTAAACTGGGATTTCAGAACGCATTTTAACAGTCCCAGAGTGAGTCGAGTTCATCTGTAAATATTGTCTGGGATAATAACACAGACATTTACCACTGAGCTACAGGAACACGGGAAGATGACAGCTCACTCCACGAGGAGGGAGAGAAGACATCTGTGTGTGTCTTTGCTTAATAAGCCATGACGCTGTGTGAGTAATAATACACTCATAAAGCAGGAGCTCACAGACAGCTCTGATCATTAGCCAGGGAGAGAGGGAGCTAGCTTGGACTGGATATACATAGAAAATACATTTAAAACTAAATATTGCTGTGGACAAAAAACCACTGATAGATTCTTGTCAGACAGCACTGCAGGCTCACCTGCTTATCAAACATTCAACACGCGTGCCTACAGTTAGACATGCAGAGAGTCCAGGCAAAAATACAGCACATCATCACTGCAAGACAGAGGAACAAAACACACTCACTGCTGTCGGCTAAACAACTCTTTTATTTGAGTAATGTACACAAAATTAACCCCAACATTGTTTAAATGCATTAAAAAGACCTATAATGTTTTTTAACATGTTCAACTATCTTTAGTGTGTAATGTTGATGTTTGAGCATGAAAAGGGCTTGCAATGATACAAAGTCCCTCCAGCGGGAGTTATTCTCTATAGTGTTTCTGAACTCCCTGAAACGCCTCACAATATTCCTCATTTAAATAATTCCCGCCAAGGCATATGCTAAATAAAGGGGCGGGGCCTGGTTGAGTTAGTTAGTAGAGTGTTGAATCTCAGGTGACATTTACAAAACATGCTCAAAGCGCTTGACCAATCACAAGATACAACTCCAGCCGACCAATCAGAGCACATTATGCTTTTCGGAAGGAGGGGCTTCATAAAGACAGGAACTAAACAGAGCGTTACTGACAGACTGGGAAGAAACGCACTGCAACCATATATATATATATATAGATACACATAGATGCTTCATTAGCGGCTGTTTCTATTGGCCGCTTTAAAGGGGACATATCATGCTAAATTCAATTTTTAAGCCCTTAAATGCATTTTGTTGTATATTTGGAGTGTTTAGAAGTACAGAAAAGTTTAAATTATTCTCTTCAGGTGCTTCGTTGATATCTTTATATTCTGTTTTGGTCATATTTTTCAACCTGTTCCGATTTTTCTGTTCTCTATGACGTTTTTTGAACTATTACGTCACAGTATTTGCAGCGGAACTGCCAAATAAGGACATCGACTTCCGGCCCACCACTTCGAGCAATTCGCCATTTTTATTTCTCGCTGCAATTTTGTAGTCCAAGCTAAAGGATGCAGAACTTACGAGGGTAAGTTAAAATGTTCGGTTGTTGGATGAAGTAACCCACACGCTTC